TCATACACCTGTCCTTACCAAGACAGATTCAAAGAAGCGGAAGAGAAGAAAACACCCACCTGAGCGGCAATGAACTGTTTTAGCCCTTCAACTGTCATGCCTCTTCTTAGGACACCACGCACAGTAGGAAATCTTGGGTCATCCCTAGTAGAAAAAGATGTTTCATCAGTATCACATGCTAAGTTCTACTTATTAGTCAGACCAATCAAAAACTTTGCTAATACTGCCACACATGAAAGGCCCAGCTTTGGTGTATTTTACTTGTGCGAATTAAGAGCTGAATGAGAAGACCTAAGTGAAAAGACTGAGCTCTTATCCATACAAAATGTGTGGTGCAGATTTTCTTCTACTTCACCCCAGGGAGGGAAGCCATCTCTTGGTGAAGTAGCTCTTCCTATATCTATTCAATCTTAAGTCCCTCAAAAACTCGCAAGGCGAAAGTTACGTCCCCATCACATTACTTCCTTTTCAATGGCACCTGAATAACGGAACCTGAAACAACAGGGCTTGATTCTTTCTTGCTCAAGAGAAACTGGAAAAAGATGAGTGACAATGACAATGTTACCTCTCAATGACATAAGTGATAGAATTCTATGATTTTATTCTCTAGTGCAAGCAATAAAAAGGCCTAATCTGAAATGTAAAAAATATGTTGGTGGGAACACGAATCAAACCATGCTGAGGACCTAACAGGGAGGCTGAGGGAGGGAGAGGTCATCATAAGACCAGCTACACCTCTAGGGGAAAAAAACCAAAAAAAAGGCGGGGGGTGGGTGGGGGTGGCAGGAAAGAGAATTTTGGCTCTAATGGAGTGGCTCCATGCATAAGATAGGAATCTAGGCTTCCAATACAGCTGAAAAATAAAACCAACAAAAAAGCAAGCGCACGCTTGGCACACCTAAGCAAAACAACCAGGCAGCCTAGGAACTTGTGTAAAATGATGCTCCCACAGGCTGAGCAGAGAATCACCTAAAACCAGCCCAGGAAAAACGCTACAAGCAGTTGTCTGACTTAGCATTATCTATGGATTTCTTCAGACTCCTGTATTATGAGGAGAAGACTTCAGATGTTGTGCTCCTACAGCTAGCCCACTATGGGAATGAACAAAGAAGGAGCCTCTCTAGACTCTGAACTACTAGCAGAAGTGTAAACCCATGGCTCACACTTTCTAGGAAAACACTTAGGCTACTAGGCCACAGAGTACCATCTGCAGACATCCAGTTAACATGAAAAAAAAGAACATGAAAAAGAAGGCAGGGAGGACAGGCAGGAGGGAAGTAGGACAGATTTGGCTAGATGGGTAAGAGCAGAAGTTCTTCAATTCAGGCCCCCTTCTGGCATTGCTCAGGAATGTAGCCAATGACTCAGAGTGGAAAATGTGTAAGTAGCACCCGTAGCAAGAGCCAGAGTCCAAAAATAAGCTACCTCATGTTTATTACAGGATATGAATATGTACGTACACAGTTACTGTAGAGTAGTAAACAGACATATTGTGCATGCAGAAGCCACTGTAATTAATCTATGTTCTTAAATATTTAAATATTCATACATGCTGCTGTAATGTCTAAGCCCTGTCCAAAACAGAGAATGCATGCATCAGTCATGAGTATCTTAAGGAACAATGCTGAACTACAACCATGTAGCATACCATCCATCCACAAGCCCTTCGTTGACAAACCACGTAAGCTTTCTCTTAGAGAGCACAGTGTTGTTGAGGTTTAGCCGGCTATACTCCCATATATATGGTTTCCTTATGCCCAGTGCCTCAATGATCCAGTAGAATTGCTCATCTCTGTCATGGTATTCAGTTGTTCTCAATGCATGTGTGACACCTTCAATACTGTCAACAATGGGGCAGGCAAAGTCATATGTGGGATAAACCCTGAGAATAAAGACCTTCAATTAGCAGGGGAGAAGAACAAAACACTTTCCTCACATGTAAACATTTAAACTAAGCATAATTTATGTATTATAAATATCTCTAATCTATGATCCCCAAAACTTTCAGATCAAGACTAAAATAGCACATACACAACAAACCGTCCATAAAAAGATCCAGAGGGCAATACATTTTTAAAACAAAGCAAGCCTTCAAGAAATTAATTGATCACAGCCTTAATATTCAAGACAAAAAAAAAAAAAAAATCCTACACTGCTAGTGTTCTTTTCAAACACATAAAATGCTGACTTATAGGGTTTTTTTTCCTTAAATATCAAAAAGATTCATTAGCTGACTGAATAATACGCAAAGCTTTCATGTTTAAGAACAAACCCCTACCCACAGACATAGCTTTACACACATTAAATCACTGTTTCCAAAAAGGGAGTTGTATAGCTGGAAACAGAGGTTTCAAGTAAGCACTGAACCATAGCCTTTAACACTTGGGTAGGCTTACTTCAACCCACAATGTAGTAATTCTTCACTCTGCACAAAGACAGCAGTTGCTGTGAAAATGGAAGCAGCCACTCAGGTAAGTAGATCAAGGATGTTTTGCAGCAATGTAAAAATGTAACAATGTAAAATTGCCATGGTTCTGTTTAAGCTCCAAGAGCTAAAGCAAACAGCTTTGTTGTCCACGATACAGCCATTAAGTCTTAATTAATGTTTTGACTCAAAGCTCTTCACTGACATACAATGTATTTATGGACCAAAACTGAAATAATATTCACTGCTGACCATGATGGCCAACACGCAGGTTTTAAAAGTCATTTGCAGAAGTTTCAGAAAGTCAAGAGACTCATTACATATTCTCACTGAAAAATGCTAGCAGGTTCCAAGTATTAAAAGAAGTTTACTAAGGAATGGTAAATGCCCTGAAAAGAGAAAAAAAAAAATCACAGGTTACACAACGAGGAAGGGGACATACTTGTAGGTACTTCCAGTACGTGGGTGAGGCTGGTTTTTACAACGATAAAGAGTTGGATCCCTCATACATCCATTGTTACTACTCATATCTATTTTTGCTCGTAGACAACAAGTTTGTCCATATTCTGTTCCTTTTTTCATTTCTTCCCACATTTGTAGATTCTTATTAACACCTAAGAACAATAAAAATAAATAATTTTCTAAGGTATTACAAAGTTGATACAGAACCAAGTTTTATTACTGCAGTAACAAAAAACAGCACCATTCCCCTTCTTTAGACACTGGAATTCATTTTCACGCATTTTACATTTTGAATTTTTTTAAAAGTGGTAACGAATGGTGATGAATTCATACATACACAAGTTTACTGCATCTGTCTAAATGCACACTTATTCCAGCCTTGCAGAAGAAAGCACTAAACACTTCCAAGTTCCTATAAGGACCTTAGAGATATGCAATTATTCATCTTAACCATCTTTGTTAATAATAATAAAGTTTTGACGCCAAATTAAAAAGATAAGAAAACAAGACAGAAGCTTAAAATATCTTACAGTTATTTCTGTGTTTAGATTCCACTCTTTGCTCACGCTCTGCTTTCATTTGTTCTGCAGGAGTATCATCCACATATGCCTTCCCTTCTTGAATAAGCTTCTCAGCATATTTCATTATTGTTTCAAAGTGATCTGAGGTATATGTAAATTGATCTGGTTTGATGTGCAGCATTGCAACATCTTCAAGAATAACCTGCAAAGTACGAAATTGTATGCTGTAATATTCAGGAAAGCTAGTTGTCTTAAACTTCTATCCTTTTCATGCCAGATGTGGTGTTTTTAATGCTCCAATGTCCAGGAAGGATAAGCCATAAGAATAGTATCACATGTGTGAAAGAAAAGAGAGGCAGGCACTTATCATTAATTCACAGCCTATAATTATATGAGATCAGACTTAGACAACTTCAAGAAAAAAGTAGGACAAGAAAAGGAGATGAGCTGAAACAAATTACTTTTTACAGACTAAATAGCATTTATACAATGAAAACAGTGTATTGCAAGAGTTGCATATGCACATACTGTAAAATAAACATTGGAGAACAGGAAGAAATAAGCTACCAGTAAAAGGGCTACAAGCTATTTAAGGTAAAGATGATGAAAATTTCTTCCAAGCATAACACTTAAGTGTAATAGCAATACTGTAAAAATCTAGCACCAAAAAAAGTGTGCAAGAGCAGATCTGCCTGTCATTTACGTTTGAATTAGCTATAGAGTGAATGGATTTCCCTGCTCTCTTATCATACCTTTTCAAAGTCTTCTTTCTCTTTTTCTGGATTTGTGTCATCAAATCTCATAATAAGCTTTCCTTTAAAGTTAACTTGGTAGTGCTGATTTAGCAGGGCAGCTTTGGCATGACCGATATGCAGATATCTGAAAAGGGGAAGGAAAAAAAAAATTATATATATATACACACCAGCACCACTTCAGCTAGACTTTTTTTTTTTTGTGAGCGAAGGAGAAAGAATGAAAAGCAATATCTAAAGCCAACCAAAAAAAACCCAAAAAACCCAACCCAGGATATCTGCTGAAATACTGCACATTCATGAAAGCAGACTATGTTTTTTTCTACCATAAATTTAGTAGTTAACAGTTAAAAATACCTCAATCTGTAAATTAGACTGTCACTATGGATATAAAGATAGGACTGCAATTATCTCCAGTTTTACAACTGTTGATGATACTCAGTAGTAGCTACCACATAATTTGAACCTAGCATATTCAGAAGAGTGGAATTTTCTGAAATGGTGGTTGCTGTGTATTTTTAACATAAGCTAAAAAGCTACTGTCAATTTAAACTAGAGATAAAAAACCCGAATCCACAAAATTAAAATTGCTTCCAAAAAAAATTAAAAATATACATGTCCCTAAAGAACAGTGTTTTAAGTAAAACACCAGAATTAAAATACTAAATGCTACTAAAGTAATGTGAGAACAATTATGTTAGACACATTCATGCACATAATAGATAACTCATGTTATCTGAGCAACAGTTTATACTGGACTAACAGTAAGAAACACTACTACAGAAGTCATGTGTTGCTGACCAGCCAGTTTAATGAAATGCAATCATGGAAATTTTACAGCTCATCAGGCAATTCTAAAAAGAAAGAGAATATTAAAAGCTGGCTGAAAATTGTATTCATGAAGTTGGCTCATCACATCTCCACTGTGTAGTCTTTAGTTTGTGTTTTGGGTCTACATACAGTTTGGACTGCTGGGACGAAGACGTCCATTACACATCTGGCATCAAGCTTCCCGAAGTGAGGCTATCCCATACATCTTTCCCTTCTCAAATCCAAGCTTCCTTGAGAAGCATTGTGAATATTTTCATCCAACTCTTAAAGACCGTATTTACACATCATAGCTCCTGTCACTGCACACGCCTCCATTATCCATGAAAATGCTGTCCTTCTGCTTTTCCTCATTCCACTGCTGAGCAGCACCACATCACCTGCTGGCAACTAACCTTCCTATTCCAAGTTCAGGCAACACTGCAATGAGGTATAGAGGAGAAGCAAACATACAGCCCTAACATAAATAGGGACAACACTTTAAATACTCTTTTGGCTTAAAAGTCTTGTCTGAAAAGCTGATTAACACCCTCACCAAAGTACATTTTTTTTTTTGAAAGACAAAACACAAATTGAACCGTCTGAAAGTGTTTATGTTTCTTACCCACTTGCTTCAGGAGGAAACCTCACAATGACCTTTCCCATCTCTGCACCAGGAAGTTCAACAAACTTCCCAACATCTGCTTTCTTTTCTGTTGCCTTAAAAATTAAGAGAGACACAATTACAGATCAGATTAGCTGTATAATCAGATATAAAACTCTAGATAATAGCTTCTGCTCCAGGGTCTCCTTTCAAACCAGACAACAAAAAGCTGCTACATAGGACCCCAAATTCACATCTTCACAACTTTCACATTACTTGTAGTACCTCAAAACAAGATTAATTCTGGAGTTTTAAGTTATTCTGTCTTCAAATTTGATCCAGGACTGAAAACTCCCACCAAGTTGTTCAATTTATTCCACAGCAGAGAACAGTTGCTAGCCAAGTTTTTACATCTTAGTGTTCTTAACCTGAATGTGATTAACAAGTTAATCAACCAAAGACTATAATCTTTGCAGGTCTATCAGGATCTCAAAATCCTCTTTAGAAAAAGCACACAATATACCTAAAGAGCAGTGCTGATTAAGAGGTATCATTTTTACATGATTCCATTTAAGCACTGGACTACACCACACATGCCTTTCTAAATATGAAAGTGACAGCTTTGCTTTTAAACAACAGTTTAGAAAAAATTAATTGACTGTACAACTGATTCCTTTTAACTTTTAATTCTCTAACTTAAAAAAAAAATTATCTTATAGTGTATTCACACAAATAAAGCTACTCTATCCAGAGGATCTGAGTAAATCTTACCATTTTAACCTTTGGTGTACCAGAAACCCACTTGGCTCCTACTGACTGAAAAGCACGCTGTACTTCAAGAAAGCCATACCATCGCTTTGCATGGACAGGAGCTTTGTTTTGCTGTAATTGCTCTTGCCATATGTTATTATCTGTTAGAAAACAAATCATCTTTCAATGATTTCAACTATAAAAATGGAATGATTACCAACAGCAATTTTTAAGACTAAAAAAATATTATGACTTTAAAAAAAAAAAAAATCTACTTATGCTCTCTTCTGAAAAGACATTTAGCCATGGGGATACAAGTCATTCTAAAGCAAATTAAATAAACTCCCTCCAAACCCAAAACATACTGAATTATTTCTTGGATTCATCAAAGCAGAAGGTGGGGGGGAACTGGGGGACATATGTTTTTCTTTGTACCACCCACCTCAAAATTAGAAACAACTTTTTTCCCAAGACAGAAATGTAGCACATCCCTCTAGTGTGTTAACATTTGATATTTTCTAAGCTTTATCACAAGTGAAGCATGTTATCAATACTACCCTTTATTTTTGAGGGGGCTGTATTCCCACAATCTACTTTTCAAGGAACACTACTTCACTAGAAAGATTTTGATGGGGAAACGAGAGAGGAAAAAAAAAGTATATTCCTTTCAGATTTCTCTCAAGAGCAGCAACTTTGAAAAAATAATGGAAATTCTTAGCCTTTAATCTTGAATACATATTTTACTTGCAAGACGAATTTGGTCATACTGAATGGTAGATTGACATCTATCAACTTTAGACATACATCTAAGAGAATATAAAAACCATACCCATAAAGACAGTTCATCAAAGCTTCTTTTAACCTCTGAAGGGTATTTTATAGGGTAGCATATACCTCTTGTAATTCAAACTAAACACCAAAGAAATATCCTCTACTAAGATAATGCCATTGTAAAGTCTGTGTATAAAATTTTACTCTCTATTACAAAATAATTTAAATATTTAATGCAAAATTTTGGGCCACAGCAAATTTTCCTATTTAGGAAACAGGTAATAAAAAAGACACTCTTACAGTTAACAGAAAAGAAGTTAAAAAAATTTCCATCTATAATGACATCCTATAAATTTTCACATATAACAACAACTTTAAAAAAATTCTAGGGTTTCCTAAGCTATACTATTCCCATCACTAGTGATGCACAGGCCAAAGCAGTAGCCACACTAGTATACAGTCTGGCATACAGCTAAGAGTTGCTACTAGCATCCATAAAAAAGGAAATTTGAGGACTCCTGGTATACACTGATTGCAAGCCAATGAAAGTGAGAACATACACCGATACCTTTTAGTACAGCCCAGACACACAAGTCCGCGAGACTCAGAGAGTTTCCGACCAAATAAGTTCTCAAAGACAGACAGTGGTTGAGCTCTTGGACTGCTGAAAGAAACTGGCTGGCAGTAGATAACTTTGTAACACTAAACTCCAGCCAATGGTCAATCTAGTTTTAAGGAACAAAAGATAGTCAAAGTTACTAAAAGAATGAGAAAGAAGCTTGTTAAAAATCTGAAGTAATATACAATCCATTTAATAGCTGAACAGAAAATTTTAACTGGAATGTTACCATTAAATATATTGGACAATAAATCACAACATATGCTCAAAGAACATTTAAAATAAAATATACTGAGACATTCACCCAGAACTATACTGAACAATTAAATTTAATTTCTTCCTTCAGGATGTATTCAAACTGCTGAAAATACCGACTTTACTGAAGCTATTCCCATTGGTAAAAATAATCAGCAGTTCTTAGGTACTTACTTATCACACACGGCATATAATAATTGTCATTATCTTTCAACTATTTAATTACCACATTTGTGACCTATTTGATCTTCCTGGTACTGCTACTGGACAAGTATACCATTTTCCCCTCCATCCCTACTCTGCCTCATGTCCTTTTAGATTTGAAGAAATCAAATCCCTCCCCCACCTCATTTCCCTCCCCCCTCTCCTGCAAAACAGTCTCCTCCTATCAGAGGAAATACATCTTGGTACATAAATTAAAAAAAAATTAAGAACCAGGCCCTTGGTTAAGAATGTAGCCCTGTCTATAAATTGAATCCCTCAAACTTGTGAGAGACTAAGTGTCTCTTCTAGTCCTTTGTCCCTATTTCATGTGCAAGCGTTCTGTAAACTGCATCAGGAATCCTTCCAATATTCGAGCCAACGTGGCAGGGATGGATGTAATTACACTACAACAGAATTCAGTTCAGTCATTTGCCGTTATGCTCCAAAACATTTGCACCACAAATGCAGCTGTCACTGTACTTCTCGAAGTACAACTTTATTTTTGAAAGATGCAGAAGTGAAAAGAAGTGTTTTATCACAAATACCAATCTTGAAAGTGTGTTTGCAAAGGTCTTGGGCTATACTTAAAAGCAAGGTTTTTGGTCAGAAAGTTTAAATAGCCACAAGATGACCTACAACTTTTAAAATGCCTTAAAAGCTATATACTAAGACAACACTTCCCCTGAGACCACCTATAAGGGCTGAAGAGTGATTACTACTAGCTTCAAGTAGTTGTAGAAAAGAGTTGAATCAAGTCCTTCAGTTTCCCCCTCAAATTTCAGAGGAAATAAATTTCAATTTATCTGTTATCTGTTTATATCTGTTTATATATCTGTTTATCTGTTATCAATTTCAGCCACCAACTTCCAATTCAGCATATGATTATTCTGAGCTAGACTCAGGAAGAATTCCCTCTCATTTCATACCATATCCACAGCTCCTAATAACTTTTTGTAATCTCTGTAAGCAAGGAAGACCCAAAAATTTCCCTCTGTGGCACAAAAATTCTGGTGCCCTCACGGCACCACTAGGGAAGCATTACAGAATACTTTGCACAAGGGAACAGTCCATCTATGTCGCAATGTATCGCCACATTTCACTGAATGAAATCAGGGTCAGGGTTTTATTCATCATATACAGCAAAAACTAATTCAGTATTTCAATGTCATACAGTGTTCCTTGGTGTTATACTGAAGTGTTACACGGTAGCAACCGGTGGCAATAGAGCTGAGGAAAGTGAAGAGGGAAAATTGCAGATATTACCTTCCAACCTGAATTATCTTATATTAGTGAACTGTCAGGTTAGGAGCTGCTGTTGCAGGGGTGGGAAAGTGCAACCCTTTCAGCACTCAGATTTATGACTCTTCTTTATAAGAAAGAGCAAAACCAACACCCTTTCAGCATCCCACATAGTTGGAACCTCAGTCTAACAATAAAATCCAGAACAGACACAAGTTCCTTAAAAAAAACCCCAACAAATAAACCAAACTTTGATTGCAGGCCAAAAGAGAGAAAAGAGGAGAAAAAGAAAAAGAAAAAGGAAAAGAAAAAAAAGAGAGGCATGATTCCTTCTCACCTCAGTGTGTTCCAACAGATTCAAACCATACAACCCAGCAGAATCAGCAACTCTAGCCAGGTAACGAGCTATTGAATTCACATCAGTAAATGAAACATGCCTAAAAAAAGAAAGAGGCAAAATAAAGGTATATTAAATTACTACCTCCAGTTCAATTTTAATTGTACATAGTTGAAACGTGTAAAGCAAACACAAAATAATTTCTGGGTGAACCAACAGGTACCAGGTTACCAGAATAAAAAAAAGTATCTAGCAAAAGAATATATCAGTCCTTGCTTTTCTATCACCAGATGGAACAGTAAGCTTCTAAACATGAAACAATTTTGTTTAGATAGACAGAAATAAAGAAAATAAAACTCTGATTATTCTTTCAAAGAATAGAACTCTGTCTCCACATCTGACAGAACGCATTAAGTGTAACCTGAGCTACGTATTTTCCAGAATATAAGGAGCTAAATCAACATGTGTTTTCTTTTCATACAAAAAGGATGACTTTGAAGAGGATTCCTAAAGAATCTACAGAGGAATCAAGAGGCGTCCACCAGGGTTTTAAGGGTTAGCATCAGAGGAAAAAAACCTGTTCATTTGTTCCTCACTTTACTCAATTCACACTTCATAGAGACTATCCCCTGCTGAACAAACTTGGCTGTATTTCTGTTTTTTACCTAGTCTTCTCCAGATAAAAGACTAATTTGAATTTGTGTTTCTCATTCAGCTATTGAAAATTCTCAACAGATCTGAAGGCAAAAGGCTCTCCAAAGAGCATACTACTTTTTGTGTTTTAATCTCCCTTTTCTACCTTACATACAGTATTACAAAAAACTGCATACTGTCAGAATATCTAAGATAAATGTGACATTTTCATTTTCTAAAGAGCTTTGAAGAAAGATGCATCACAACTGTCAATTCTCCAGATAATACTCATCTCCACAGTCCCACATAGGTGTGGATTACAAAATTAGAGCTCCAATTGCTTCTGAATAAGCACTGACATCAACAAAAAGAGTTCCTGTAAGTGTTCAGTTCCACTCAATTTAATGGACTGAATGCTACACTTCAATTTGTCAAAAAAAGGTTTCATTTCTGTTTTGCCATTGTTCTGTACTTCCTGTTACACCTAGTGTGTCCTTTATAAAACTAGAAGAATTTTTCATAGCCCTCAAAAAGCCTTGCAAAAATGGATGAAAGTTCTGAAAAAGATATAGAACACTTCCTGATATATTAACAATTATAATGAGTCCCATTTTTAGTACCAATGGATCAGCCAGTCTCATTAGGTTAACTGCACTAAAACCTAAGGAACATAGTTCATTTGTAGGGTTTTTTTTTTTTGCTTGTAACTTTTCAAGCTTCTAGGATCCAGTGCACAGAAAATCCA